ATATATATAATCATACTTATGCATATCCAACATCATCCAAGTGGAGATCAGTAATTTCATTTACAAACACCCGCAACAATGCAAAAATTACATTGGTGTAGGAGATATATGTACATATGTATATGCATATGTATGTGAGTAAAACCGCAATTTAAAATGACACTTTATTCCAAAACAAAGAGAAATACATCATAGATATGTATAAAAGTTTGTATGTGTTATTCCAAAACAGGCCTGACATTCAACGCTGTCAAGCAAATGCTGTTCGCGGCATTTACGCTTTGAGGTCGCCATCCACAACAAACACAGGCACAATTGTGTGGCATATGTGTTTTTATATGTGTGGAGGTAAATTGGTTGATATGATGGTGTGGCGCATTTTCATTTAATGTCAATTTATGTGTTGTGACGAATGTGTCAGCTACAATGCTGCTGCTTAAAAAATACAATAATAATAAAAACAAGGGCACCAAATAGGCAAATTAAACTCTTTTTTTCTCGCTCTTTAATGTAGACATCATACGATTATGATTACGATCATTAAATGAGATTCAAGAAGACGGACCAATGTTTTCGGTTGACTTACTAAGTAAGTGACTCGCCAAATCTGCGATAAACTTCACATTATTAGGCTACTCGTTGGAACTGGGATGAAATATAGCAAAGACAAAATTGTGACTCCTTAGACGAATTAAAAAATTTGCGAAAAATAAAAAGATTCTTGGGTTATTTTCTCTAACTCTTCTATAAGTCCCGATCAGTATCTAGAGGGCCGCGTACTGAAGTTATGCTAGAAATATGAGAGAGTTGACATCTCAAAAGATAGCATGAGCCATATCCTGCATGAGAAAGCTGTCGGTACGTTGGTTGTCGTGTTTCCTTACTCTAAAACCAGGTCAAAAGTCAACTGTGCTTGCTGCGATCATTTAGCATGTTGTCCTTAAAAATGCAGTTTTTATTTTTGTAAAAGATTTTTTCGGAGCCACTCGGTGCCCTTTGATGTTGTTGGGACCCAAACGAAGCAGCTATGGCGTGAGCATTCCTGCTCTAGACAACAAGCGCAACTGTGAAACCCTGCACAACATAATCTGAAGGTGACTGTCGGATTCATTGGTATACACTAGATATCAAGGAACAGTGGACTTCACACAAAAAAGCGAAAAGCTTACCTATCGACAAGTTGTATTTGCAAAAAATTCGCTAATTATCCATCGTTGATCTTGTGCTTTTCTTGTGCTGCCTTTATTTATTACTTGGAAAAGAAGAGATTATCGCTGCTATAGAGGCCTACTTTATAAAAGATATGCATATATTCCAGACGATTTAATGAATCAAGTATATCTAGTTAAAGACTAGGTTGAGAAATAAATCACCATTTTTCTGAAATATTTTGCTTTTTGTAGGTTAAGTAACAATTTGAAACAAGGTTAACTTACACTTGTTTTAAATTCCTAACCTGGATATCTCATAGCCTATAACTTTGGTTTAAGTCAATTAATATAAATCGTAATTTTCTTGAGAGAAAGTAAATGGCAGCGAATATATAGATCAAGCTCTCTTCTCCTATGAATATTTGACCTTACCTCAAGCCCTTCTTCCATTTCAAAGCTTGGTAAAATATTTTCCAAAAAATTAATCTGAGTATTTACATACATAACATCTGATTACATTTGACTTGGTGCGCGCAAATCGAATCGATACAATATTTGTTTTAAATTATGTGAAAATTAAGATTTTTTTTGTTAGTCCAAGCCAAATTTGATCAGATGGTTGTATACATAATTTTTCTAAGCCTGTATATGAATTGGATAAACAAATTTTCACAAAAGTGGCGCACTAAGTCAGTTTTTATACTATACTAAGCAATTTAATTCGATTTCACAACAAATGAAATACTATATTTCAAGTAAGTATGCACATATGTACATACAAACATAACTATTGAACTTACTTATAGGGTTCATATTTCCTACCGCGTTACTTATGCTGTTACTTATATTGCATTTTTACCGTAGTAAATACAAGCCAAGCATACACATACATACATAGCTACCTAATATATTTACATAAAAAGTCGTTTACCTAGTACTTGCTACGGTGTAATTTGTATACGTAATTAGCCACATACACGACAAATCTCAGCTGTATTTATTTCAGAGTAATCCATTGTTTGGCTGGTACTTCAAAGTAAAAAGCAACAAAATAAAAAAGGAAAACTGTAATAATTAAATAGTCAGACAAACTTCTACGCTTTGCTATCTAATCTACTCTTGAAGCATTTTGAGGTCAATGAAATTAAAGCGAAGTTGGGAAACTCCTGACAAGATCAAAAATTTGTCACGCTGTCACCTTCTGCACTGAAAATTTCATAATTCATTTTCGTTCATAAAAAGTAACTGAAGGCGTCACAATAAAAAAGAACCGCTCAAATCAGCATTTACTTGAGATTTATCTGATCACCAACTAAAACAACAATGGCGCGAGATGAAAGCGACGGCTGCCGCATTTTTCCCTAGTAAATGTATGAGCTTGCATTTGAGTCATACTAACGAAGTTCTCGAGAGTATATTTCGTCGGCTGTAAGGAATGCCAAACAAAACAGAATAAAGTTTGTGATGTGTGCGCATGTGTGGGTGTGTGCTTGTACTTTACGCGATAAAAGTATTCTTCTGTTTATGACCAGTTAGTGACGCATTCCAAAATTAAAAGCCATTTCATCGGTGCGGTCCAACTTTTCTACGGCCAACATTTTACCCTGCTTCCACGGCCACCTATACAGATGAGCAATTATAACTTAAACTATAACTATGTATATATATAAACATATACATGTTTTAATGTGTGTTTGTAAATACGCAACAAATGTTGAAGAAATATTAAAGTTGTATTGTTTTCTATTGTTTTTGCTGGTTGGCAATGAAATATTTAATTGTCGTTGTTTATTTTATAGATTTAACTGAACTGAGCAACAGTTTGTCTCTACAGAAGGCATAAACAAGTGAATTTTATTTGTGAATTCCTACAGTGTTGAAAAAAACAATGGAATGGCTTTAGACTTAAAGTAAAATAAAAGTTAAAGATATATGCACGATGCACAATCTGTTTAAATATTTATTTTTTAATTTTTATATTGTATAAATACAATAATTTTAACTCTGAAAAAAAGGTTGGAATTAAACTGTTTATAATAAGATTTGGCATGATTATTATAGGGCAACTTAAAGCTATAAATGTAGAAGTCGTAAGCAAAAATAAGTCAAATTCAAAAACATATCATTCCATAAAAGTTCCTTTTATCTACACATTTATTAAAAAAATTAAAACAATAAAAATTGGCATTCTCTGAAGAAGTTTCTACCACAATCACAACATGTTTCGATTACAAATAAAAAGTTCCAGTCAAAAATCCGTAGAACAATAACGGGCTTATCATGATTCATACGAAATTAAAATATTAACAAAGATCTTGGTATTCCTATGGTAAAGAAAGAAGTAGAGGACAGCAGAAAGAAATAAAAATATAAACTCCAGAATAGTAACACATATGTACTTGTATATGCTATAGTGGTTCGATCTAAAAAATTTGTTCGGAAATTTTACCGTTGCCTTGGAAAATTCATTCCATGTGAAATTTCATGAAGTTATCTCGTAAAATAAAAAAGTTTTCCATACACGAACTTGATTTTGATCGTTCAGTTTGTATGGCAGCTATATGCTATAGTTGTCCGATATCGACGGTTGCGACAAATGAGCAACTTCTTTTGGGGGAAAGGGACGTGTGCAAAATTGAGGGAGTAGTGGGCGTATATACAGACGGACGAACAGACATACGGGTATGGCTTTACCGATTCGACTCGGCATGCTATTCATTTATTTATATACTTTATAGGGTCTCGGACGTTTCTTTCTGGGTGTTACAAACTTCTTGGCAAACTTAATAAACCCTATTCGGGGTGTAATAAAACTGTAACATTCGGAACCCCACTTATGGTATTATCTGAAGAAGTTTCTACTACAATAGCTATCTTCGATCGCAATTTCTCTGCTCGTTATGCATATTATATGTAAAAGCAACAACAAAGCTATCGGGTTGAATTCCTACAAGAGAGTATGCGGATACCGCATTAAAGTGGTATAGCCGCTATCTTCAATGCTATGCTGTGAATGACTCAACTGACAAATTAATATACCTATAAATTTCTTTATTCTCTGATTTTAGAAACTAAAGACTTTAAATCAATTATAGTAGCTTATAGAAAACAAAACTAAGAGGTTACTAAACCATTTATTGATAAGGCAAAGGGTATTTCTCTACGAAGCAAGAATCGCAGCACACATACGTCTGAAGACATGACAGTGCAGGGTTGCATCACAAGTGCTGCCTGTTTGAATGGCTACTCTCCAACTCTTGGCGCATCGAAGACAACTAATCAGGATATCCTATAATTAATATTAATAAATATTTGTGATTAATGTTGGAATTAAATGATTTGTTGAGATACTTGCAGTAGTGTAATATGCCTACGGCAGAATTTCCTTGATTTTTGACGATTGATATCTCGTAAAGACTTAATCGAAAAATTACAATCACTACGAAACTGTGACTGTTGTAATTTAAACAATTTTTTTTATAGAGTTATAAAATTCATAAGAAATAAATGTTGTCTTCAAATATTCAAACTTCAAACGTTATTATCTTTTAAACGGTTGGATTTACAAGAAAATCGTTTGAGACCATTTTGTAGAGCACTCAATTTCCTACAAAATCTATGAAATTAAATATTTTTTCAAATAGTTGGAAACGAAATATGAATTTTTCTATCTGATAATAAGAAAAAATAGGAACTGTAAGGCGGAGGACCATCCCTTTACAATTAAGAGCTCATCTTTGGAAGATTTTCGTAGAAGTGTCTAAGAACCTGTTTTTCAGAGTACCTAGCGAAAATATAAATTTTTCGTATTTTTTTCCTACTACATTATAAGATTTATAAATATGTATATATTAAATTAAAATTTTTATTTACTCGTTTCTGTTACTTTTCACAACACTGTAGCTACATTGCTAACCAAATACATACTTGAGTTTGTACTGGCGTAGTTATGTATTTATATTTGAAGCGTGTGAACAGCTTTTTATAGTGCATTGTGTTTTGAGAAATAACCAGCTGTTGCTTTTTTACTTCATCATCATTCACCCAACACAGCAGAGGTCAAAGTTGACGGTTGTATATATTTAATTACTGTTACAAATATGTTTGTATATATCAGCATAATAGAGAAAAACAGGTGAATAGTTAGGCAATGTGAAATTTAATTGCAGAAGAAGGTACAGGTGGACAAAACTACCAATGTACACATATTTGGGGAAGAAATGAAAAGTATATTTGTTGCAGTGCCTTCGTTGGGTTTTTTTTTACAGTATTAGAAGAAGCAAACAAAAGTTGTAAAGTAAATGTGTGTGTAAGTTTCTACGAGTCTTGAGATATGTTTTTACGTATGATATTGTAATCATGCAATTAACCACTATTCTTCCAATTTACTTCCGAATTATGTACAGTAATTTAGCTAAAAGTTTAAAAACAGTAAAGGTCGATTAGTTGATTTTTGGTCAATTCACAAAAACTAGTAAGTCATTATCTGGAGGTTGATAGTGATCGGACCATTTGTCTCCGAGTAATCACTCAGGCAAATTGAAAAATGGAGATAAACGTGTTTAAATATAAACTGTTGGAGCTGATTAAACACTTCTTACTCCTTCTCACTCAAAAACTATTTGAGATATGGATTTGAAAATTTAGTATGTTATTTTTGAAAGTATAACCACTAGGTACATATATAAAAAAAACATGTTTCGATATTTTAATTACATTTTTTTACATTAAGATAAAATTTCATTTCATTTTATCTCTAAACAATTATTTTCTAAAAAATTCATCATCTCAACATCTAGCATAACTATGTGCTTACTAATATTATCCGGAAACGGCTTGATATAATTGTTTACTACTTCAACAATTATTTATAATAAAGTCAAGCCTTTTTATTTTGCAAAGTAAATTCCGAGTAATGCGTACATGTTTACGACGGTTTTTTATTAGGCTTAAAACACTCATTATTTATAAATATGTGTGATTTACGTGACATTTAAAATTTTTTTAAATCTCGTGATAGTCAATTCTTTAACAAAGATAAGAAACACTGAAACAGAGAAGTTGGAGTATAATAAAATCGGACTTTGGTTTTTTATATGTAAATAATTATGAAATATTGATAATTAAAAATAATAATAATAATTTAAAGCACTTCTTGACTATTTTTTAGGGTCAAGGACCTATTCTTGGCGCCGGGTATGCACTAAATTTCAAATGACATTGCATCGAATTACAGCGGCACATTTATATACAAAACATAACACATACATATGTACACATGTCGGTAGCTACGTGCTAACACCGCTTGCAATATGAAGATGCATAATTTTATGATGTTTGCTGTACTATGCATACGCAAGCGCAACGCTGCAAAATAAACGAAAAGCAATTAAAACGGTTGTGAGGACGAGGCACAACATTTTCACCACACACACCTTTTCCACACAGGTAGAAAATGTGTGAATTTCCCCACACACGCTGCAAACATAACAACAACAAAAATACTTATATACATTCGTATGCATGCAATACTCTCCCCTCGCTTTCAACGACTCGCTCACAATGGAAGCAACAACAAATTTATGCAGCAAAAACGTTACCCTGCCGCCGGCGCGACGAAGTTATTTCTTTTAGACGTTTTACAAGGTTTCGAAAAACCGAATATGTAAGTATGCACAGTGCCAATAATTACTGAACACTTGGAATTCGTGCAATCACGGAATTCTCAGGCCTTTTATAATCAGCAGAAAGATAACGACTAAATTTAAGCAAAAACTTTATGAAAAATGCCAGCAGTAGCAATTAATCATTAATAGTTGAAGTTAATATGAAAACATACCCAAAAGCAGTAGTTTCACCTCTGCAGCCGCACGCTCTGCATCCCTTTGCAGCACCCGATCAATGTTTTTCGAATGTTCGACCGCCTCCTTATCGCGCGACGTACTCACAGCACAACCCATTTTTTTATTGAATTTATTTTAATTATTTCTTAATTTTTGCTAGTTAGTAGCGACACTTCACACTACACCAACAGCCACGCAATTTGCACCGAAACTGTCCAAACCACGCAGACCACCGATAAATGGTTTATGGTTGAGCTACTCCAGCCACTAAGTATTCACAAATCACAGATATGGATTGCAATTTGCAATTAGGCCTTCGCGTGTAAACTTGTCGATTTTTAGATCAGTTATTTTTCCACCAACTGCTCTTTCACGGACGCACGCGATGATTCTTTTCCTTTCTTTTTCACTGTCGCGTCTGCGCGAATCCACTTTCCTTGGTGTTTCAACCAATCGATTAACTTCACTTTGTTATATTTCACTATTAAACGCTTTGGTTTTCACTTTCTTGCTTAATTTTCTTGTACTTTTTATTTCTAATCGTAAATGCAAAAAATTTTTTTTATTTGCCAATGCAGATTGTTATTTATGATTCACCACTTGAATATTCCTTTTGCTTCTTCACGCACAAATATAATTTACAATCCGTCCGCTATTTCACACCACACTACTATTTGGTAAAATGTTTGCGTTGAACTGTCGATCGGCAACAGTGCTGGCAACACATTCGGGTAAAAAATGTGCCGCGTGGTGAAAATAATGTGGTAGGAAAAAAACTTTTCGTTAGCAAATATTTGTTAATTTCTTAACAGATTGAAACTCGTTTTCTGTAAAATATATTTTAATTTTGCTGTTAATATTTTTTAAATTTAAATTTAAACGTTCCAGATATAGAAGAACAATTTTTTATATATTAATAAGTTTTACACATTTTTGAAAGTTCTTATAAGGAATAGTAGGGTTGGCATTACTATTTCTTTGTTTTTGACAGTATTATTCACCACTATTATCTATGCTGCTGTAATATATATGAATGTTATAAAATCAAATATATGATTAATTCGAATATAGAAGTATATCGGTGATTTTAATTTCTTTAAAATACTTAAGCATGTATAATAATTATACAATTAATATATATAAAGTGATATTAGCATTCCTATGAGCAAGTGGTGAATTCATGAACGGTTGTGTTCTTTGCTAAAATGCATTTACTGTTGGAAATAGTGCTGATATAGCAAAGTTAGCTGCAATTCGGTGTGGTGATCGTGTTCATTAAATTAGTAAGAATTTGAATTTATTTTCAAAGTGTAAAAAACGAAATTTGCAACAACTACCAGTAAATTCTGAGTAATTAATAAAATTCTTAAATTTGAGAGCGAAGCCATTGGATCTGACAGGTATACATCTTTTTCAATTTGATGTTTCAACTTTTTACTCTCGCAGCAACTTTATGCTGGGTATAATAATTGGAATGATGAAGACATATTTTCATATACATATGTATGCCATTAGGGTGATTCTCTAGCAAATTTGTACGAAAAACAAAAATCGTATACCAAAATATGTAGGAGCACGAGAATATGTATGAGTATATGTAATAGGACAGCTATCGCAGACTTGCCACGCCTAATTACACGAAAATTGGCAATGACTTTTGCAATTTCAGAGAAGTTTTGTATTCTAAACGGTCGAAATGGTTTAATTTTCACATCCACGCATAGAGAGCTATAACTCTGTGAGCAATTAATAAAATTTTCACGGAGAGTCGAGGAGAAAAAGGGCACATACAGTGTCGGACAAAACAAAAGCAAGTACATCAATACATGGTTAAAAAAAACACTGGTTCCGGTCTGGTTTGTAATATATTTAATCTATAGATCACTGGTTCAAAATTCGAGTAATATTAGGACAAAGGATGGAAATGGGTGAAATCAAATAATAACCACGACCAATATATACTGCTATTGTTTAAAACTTTGAAAAGTGCCAAACCTCTATAAGATAAATATTATTCCAGAAAATCCAATTTAAGTATAGATATATGTATATAGATAAACTAAATCAGTTCAAAAGTTCGAAGACAGAGATATAATTTTCAAAGTCTTGAATGAAGGATTTTTTCAAATACAACTACTAAAAGAAATAAAAGTTGCATTTTTTTGTAAAAACGTCTCCAAAAGTACAATTTTACTTTTTTTCCTTCATCCAATATCTAGTTTATGGTCTTAATTAAAGCACGTCTTTTTACTTGAGATGATCCTGTAATAAATTCTGCTGTCAACGCGGAGGCACGTTTTTACCGAGCGACTGCTGGATATGACTTCGTAATATTTTCCTTTGAGAATTTCAAAAAATCTTTGTAAAATATATAGATTTGAAATAATAAGAAGTTTGAATAAAATATTTAATTTTTTTTATTTAAAAAAAATCGTAATTTTTTCCTCGAGGAAATCCATGTAACCTCTCAAAGCATATAAAATAAAAGAATTGTACTATACATAAAGTTAATAGCCCTAGGTAAAAGGTATGACGATTTTTGCCCAATCTCTTAAAAAAGGCACTATAGCTACATAGGTATATACTTATGTACATACATATGTAATTATTTTCACACCTCTATTTTTCTTCACATCTCCGTATATTTAACTGAAACATTGTATTGGAATACGAGATGAATGCATCAAAAGTGTCAAAGGGTTGTCATCAATGGATCCATCATCGCTAATGTTTACTACTCTTGTTTCATTTCTTTTTAGAATTTAACAGTGAAAAATTTGAAGTGGTTTCCGAATATATTGAAACTATGTCGGTATACCAATAGAATATCCTAGTGCACGCTTATAGACTTAGTAGGAAATACATAAGATAGTGCAAAAGTACTTAGTGTCACAATGTATTACAGGTTGGTAATAGATATTGAAAAGAACGTTATAGCGCAAGTAAAGTGGAGAAAGAAATTTTATGGACCAAGCGAAAATGGTACACTGACTTCTACCAGGTAAGGCAAGACAGTGCAATTAAAAAGTGCTATACTTGACTTGGTGCTTCCAATCGAAATGACTCTATTTCAGCTATTACCTTAGAGACAATATATTCTTCTTTGGCTTCTATATTATTTACTAATTAAAGGAGACTACGGTTGATAAATAAAGTATCAGAAATAGCAAAAGTTTATTAATGTGGATATAAATGGCTAGAGACTGATTTTATCAAAGTGTGATAATTATACATATATATTCCTTATTTCTTACTCACTCAAAAAATGCCTAGTGACAATGGAATTTCCTGTTGGGTAAGTAAATAAAGTGCGCATCTTTAATCCTCAATTACTACGAAAATTTGTTAAAACGATATAAAAAGGACTATAGCGATAATTTTAGGAAGAGAGAGCGATCTTAAGAAATCTTCTTTTTTAGGTTTTGCTACAATACTAAACATCCGCTGAAAGCAACCCGAAAAAGTAAAAATTAAGAATAGCTAGAATTTTGTATACTCTTACTATATTTATAACTATTGATCTTTTAAGGCCACACTTTCTTCTGCTAACGATACGACACGACAAATATCAAAGTGTCGGCTAAGAAAGTTGAGCTTGCTTGTTGTCTGCCAAACTAATATTTCCAATGCTTAGCACCCCATTATTGGTTCGAATACATAAAGTTCAAATTATCTGTTTATTAGTTTACGATTTTTTAATCAAAAGAAAATCCCCAATATTCCGCTCCACCAAGTCATCGTGTGATCGTGAATTGTTGTTCGATATGTCTCGAGCGTAAATAAACAATAAAGTCAGGCGAGCAGGCATTCTAACGCAACATACATATGTATGTATATAATATACATATCCAAGAATATATTCGTAAGTGTTGTTGTAAAAGTTTCGGTGCGTTGATCGACATTATTGATCGACGCTATTCCGGATGGTTGGCAGGCCGGCCGGCAGCGCAATGTTTACGGTGGCCAACGCTCGTGTCTTTCGCTCGGCGGACCGTCGACGGGTTGCGGTGCAGGTGTGCTGCACATGCGACAGGAAATAAATTCCCAGGCCTGTTGCGCGTTGCATTCCAATGCAACAGCAGTTCATGTCGTTCGCCCAGCCGATCTCACACTTGATGATCGCTGGCAATTATGTAAAAATGTGCATGTGTATGTATGCGTTTGTGGGTATGGTACGTGTGTGCGATGCCAAAGATAATTTTAAGTATTATAATTTATGCATGAACTTTCATGTATGTATATCTAAGTATGTGTCTGTGCGCGTATAAATTTGACATGTTTGCTTATGAAAAGAAACATTTTGTTAAAACTCTGTGTTGCATATTTGTGCATTGTTGCAGGGGTCGCCGTTTTCTCTGGCCACCAAATGGCCGCAGCGGTTAAAAATCTATTGTATTTTCATTTGCGCTTTTATTTATTATTTTTGCTCGGATTTGTGTGATATGAATGCTTCCTTGCAGTTGGGAGGCTGAAGTCTTGCTTCTTTTTTTATACTCTTGCAACATGTTGCTACAGAGTATAATAGTTTTGTTCACCCTGCGGTTGTTTGTACATATCACCTAAAAATTATCGAGTTAGATGTAGTCCGTCCGTCTGTCCGTCTGTCAAAGCGATAACTTGAGTAAGAATCTTTATATCTTAATGAAACTTGGTACACATGTTCCTTGGCAAAAAAGTGAGGACGAGTTCGTAGATAGGCTTAATCGGATCAAACGCCATTAATCAAAAACCTATAAAATGCCAAATACTAAGCACTAATTTAAGATATAAACCTATAATTTGGTACTAGGGATCGCAGTAGCAAGGGACACCTGTGGAATAAAATTTTGAAAGAATGTGTGCAACCCCGCCCTCTAATTGGTTTAATGTTTATATTTCCTAAACCCCTAAAGCTACAATGACCAAATTTGCGTAGGCAAATATAAGAAGTCCTACCGACAGTGTGAAAATGGATGAAATCGAATTATCACCTCAGCCTCCCCTCATAAAACGGTTTTGTCAAAAACTACTAAAAGCGCGATAAATCAATAACTAAATGTGCCAGCGACAATTGGGGCTTTATAGGATCCGGGGTCAAAATTGGACGGTGGGCGTGGCACCGCTTACATTTAGGTAAAATTACATATCGCCAGACCTACTAACATTGTAAAAATGGGCGCAATCGGACAGTAACCACGTCCACTTTTCATATAACACAACTTTAAATTCGATGTGATTCTTTCACTTTTACACAAATCAATATATTCGGTTAAAACTTTGCACAAAAAATGCCTAGCCTCGAGTCTAAAAATGGTGAAAATGGGACCTCACATACCCAATATGTGAACCCCAGTGCGTATGGCTGACTTTTTGCCAAAAATATCGGTCACTAGGTCCAAAAACCGTCCTGCAGTATGAGTAAAAGACAAGCGTGTTTTCCATCGAGTCCCTTGGACATGATCTTCGGGAACCAGCGTTTTTAGTGACTTGCGTATTTTTTGTACTGGTCCGGTATCCAGACGCATGGCACTTTGGGCAATTTCATTGGCTATTTCGTTTCCTGGAATGTCCTTATGACCTGGAACACAGTATATACACAGCCCCTTTCTCTGACGTAATAGGATGAGAGATTATTGCTTTAACTGTCGCTTGGCTATCTACGTAAAGAGTCTACGAACAAGAACGACGTGATGTTAAAATAATATCAAACACTTAAATTTGGTCGAAATTTGTTTTGTTTTATTTTTTTTTGTTATGCAGATAATTGTATGCGATTTATGATTTGAACCAAATGTCAGCCAAATGGTCACCTCGGTTGACGGTGCATCATTTCGCCTGAAATTTCGGGTACAGTGCGCTAAATGTTTTCTTCGAGCTCCTCAAGCGTTGTTGGTTGATTGGAGTAAACCTTTAATTAAACATACCCGCAGAGATGTAATCCAGAGGCGGTAAATCGCATGCTCTTGGCGGCTATTTTATTAAGCAATTTATCGAAATTAACGAATCGCCAAACTTTGCACGCAATATGTCCATGTTTAGAGGTGAAACATGGGGCGGCGCAATATCTTGTTGGAAATAGAGATCGTCCGCGTCGATTTCATCAAATTCCGGAAAAAAAGAAACGGCATATTCTGCCTCATTTCGAAATAAATAAGTCCCGATGATGCCGCCAAATCATAATCAGCACCTACCGGTCAATTTTTGGGGATGCAATTGCGTTTCCAGAACCACACGAGGATTTCTCTTACCGCAATACCGACAATTCTGTTTGTTGACCACGCCAGAAATGGGCCTCATCTGAGGAGATGATTTCTCGTTGAACGTAAATTTTTGATTTTTTCAGAGAACGTGAATTTGCGTAATAATCTTGGGCAATTTCCTAGCATTGTACCAAAGTGAAACGTGACAAAATAAAATACCAGGTCATTACTTCAAAGATCTGTCCAATCAGTTGATTGCTAATGTTAGCTTAGGTTCTACGGTTAATTCCAAAGTTTGGAGTCAAATTTTGACTGTTAAAGACAATTCTTTGTCAAGACAGAAAACTCTTATGGTTAAATGAATCGATAAAGCGCTTTGAATTCATCGCAAATCTGCTTAGGTTTCTTATTTCTATACCCGCTGGTTCACCTGGATGTTTAAATATCGAATGTGTTATAGCTTGTATTAGTAAAGGTGTAATATTCAAGAAGGAAGTGTTAAGAAGATACTTCTCATCCACATTCCAGCTACTTTTATAACTTGCATTAAGATGTTAATGTTATTAATCAGTCTGCAATTTGTTACCTATTAAAAGATCAGCACTTTATGTACGGGTATATTAGCGTACGATTTTATATAGAAAGGTTTTGGCATTCCTAAAATCTAAATGTGAGGTGATGTTTAAGAGGTTGGTCCCATAACTTATATGCCATACAATTTGGATCACGCATTTATTATGACAGAGGTATTTTTTTGTGTTGTTAATTCTATGTACCTAGATTAAAGTTCATTGCCTTGAAATGGTCCTGCCTGAACGTAAAACAATCAAACGAGCTTAAAA